GGGAAGGTCTCATAGTATCATTGCTCATTCATATATATATATATATATATATAGTATTGTTTGTTATGTATATCATTCTGTATTTTTTTATAGATATAAAATAATTCATAAAATATTTGTTTTAGATCCGATTGGGTTCGAATCTAGATCCAAATCCTATGTACACTTTTTGGATTCAAATCCAGATCTGAATATTCTGGATCCGATCTTATCCGCATCCAAATCTAGATATGAATCCATATATACTTTTTGAATCCGATCCGGATCCCAGTTGATCCGACCCATTCTCAACCCTAATATTTTGCCACTTCAAGGATATCAACTTTTAATTTATGCAAGGGTGCAGTTGGCATATGGATGCCTCTGTAGGTGTAGAGGTACGGTGCCGTTCAAATTTTATCATGGTATATAATTTTGATATAAAATGTTATTAGGATTATCTCAAATTCTATTTTTATATCTAATTATAAAATTTTTAATTTAAAAAATGGTTAAAATCAAATAGATCTATAAACATATGAAAATCTTGAAAATAGATGATGTAGATAATACGTTGTAAAATGCACTATTTTTTAGACTTAAAATATTTTTATCAAAAGGTTTTTCAACATTAAAACTACCTTTTCTGATGGATTTTCGAGAGGCATCCATAGTTCTGTATTATAAGGTCGCATCCTTATATAAACGTTTTTCTTTTATATAATGGCCATGAGGTTCAAATTTTAGGTAACATTCAAATTTCAAAATTTTTTAGGCTCTCTCTTCCCTCTCGCGAGCAAGGTAGCGTCTGTATCTCACATAAAGGGTGCCAGGTAGCCTATGGTTGATCGGGTACTCTATAATTGAACTAGAATAGGTATAGGCGAATCTCCAAATATGAATATTTGTTGTTCTCAGCTGATTGATCTACGTGGATGGTAGGGATATTCAATAGTATTGTCACAAGTTAGTCGATACTGTTTGGAAGGCTATATTGTATTTTATATTTTATTTATAAATTATTTTAACATAAAATTCATGTATCCCCACCTCTCGGAGGGGCGCATCTACTAAAAATATGAAAAATATTTTTTTAATACAAATCCATGATCATAAAACCCGAAAATATTGCTCGGGTTTATGATCGTTATGTTTTATCAATAATATTATTTATTTATTTATTCATAGGTGCTCCCATAAGTAGTCAGGCCTCAAATTTTATCTCAAAATAATGCATAGAGAAAGATTATGGAAACTATCCGAAAATATCTTTATATTTTTAAATATTTAAAATTACCAAAATAATTTTAAAATTACGTCCATGGCCAATCATTTTTTAAAATCTAAAATGCCCTTCTTGATGCCTGACGACTCCTCATAGGTGCTTCCTTTGGGCATCACAACATTACATAGTGGTGACGCATCATCATGGGTCCTATCACGGCCGTGATGGTGCATCATCGATCTAATAGGGCGATGCCCAAGGGGAAGCCCTGAAACGCAATTGTTGGGCAATCACGGCTCTATTAGGGCCATGAAGGGCATTCAAGGTCTAAAAAATGTAGTGGGCATAGACGTAATCTTTAAAAATATTCGTATTTTTTTAAACAATTTTAAAAATATTAACAATATATTTTATAATTTCTCAAAAATAAAAAACAAATCTATATTAGATGTGACTTTGTCACTAAAGTCATCCTAGTCGTCTATTGTGACAATGTTTCCCTAGTTATAGAATGCATATAGCAAAAGCAACTTTTAGACATGCTTCCTTAGGCGAAATACCTACTTAGGAGTATTCTTTTTTGTTAAATCTTGACATCCACTATAAAATGGCCAATAGGAACATACATATAATCTTTTGGAAACTATAAGAGTAAGAGAATGCTATTGAAGATATACAAATAAAACATATCATAAAAAATAAAAAATACAAAAACAAGAAACAAGAGTGTGGCACTCCATGGAAACATAAATACCTGGCTGACATAGTAATAGAAATCAAAGTCCTTAGCCATGGCTTGTAAGCCCATCCCAAGCCCAACCAAAGCAAGCAACAACCATTGCTCATGAGCCATAGCTGAGCACCTCAAGGATTACAAGAAGTATCAAAATATTTAGACACACCATCCAATGGACTTTGTGCCCTCTTTATAGGCCAGGGTGCCAAAAGTAAAGGCTACAGTGCAATAAGAACTAAACAAAAAATTTTCAAATATTATATGATAAACTTTGGGAGATTTTTTACTTTTTTAGTAATTAAAATTTGATAGAGAAGATGCCTTCCACTGACCTACCTGAACAAAAGATAAGGTGAAAAGATGAGGGGTCCCATCCAATCACGTGATAGTTGTGGCCGACTGGTAGCCAACGTAAATGCTATATGACAGGCCTGCGGCTTTCTAAAAATAAATAAAAGCCTCACCTCAAAAGTTATGAAATTGCAGCTTTGCGTCGGAAAATCTTCACATAGATCATCTCGGGCTTCACCATCGTTATTGTGAAAAAAAGGTCGGATTTTAAAATTCAAACCTTGCATATTGTAACACATTATCTAAAAGGTGCGGTTTGGTTGTAACACATTACCCAAAAGGTGCAGTTTGGTTGGTACGGAATCTAACCTCTAAACAATTATATAAAAACCTATTTTTAAATGGTATATAGAATTGTGGTTTTAATACAGTAAATCTTTGGGATAGCTTTAAAATATATTTTTAAATTTATTTATAAATTTTAAAGTTTTAAAAATAGTGTACATCAATATATCTATAAAAACTTGAAAATCTTGAAAACTAATAATCCAAAAAATCTTGAAAACTAATAGTCCAAAAATACGTTACAAAATATATTATTTTTAAAACTTAAAAGTTTTTTTCTTTTAAATTAATTTTAAAACCACCATAAATATTTTTATGCCGAAAATACTTTTTGATCAAGGGTTTGAGGGATGGTTTTACTTTGTTTCGATGAAGCTTAAGCTTTATAGATTTGCTTTTTTCTCTTTTTTAAGGGAAAACCTTATATACTTTGCAACCTTATACTGTTGAAGTACGGTATACCTTAACAATCCTATAGAGGAAGGTGTTCACTCTTTGGAGAACATTCCAAGTGATCATCTTGATATCCAGATAAATGGACATGAAGAAAAAAAGAATTTCATATCAAAAAAATAGTGCGTCATATAACAAGGTATCTAGACTGTTTATTTTCAAGATTTTCAAAGTGTTTTTTGATCTGCTTGATCTATACAATTTTTGAAATTTTAAAATTTATAACCGAAGATAAAAAGAGAAATTCAAGCCATTGTAAAGTTTTCGATATCAAAAGAAATCTCTAAATAAATTTTTTAAGCGTATCTTATTTCTACAGTATGAAATAAGTATAAGGAGGCAACTTGATACAAACCTCGGCCTTTTTTCCAAGGTATTGCAAAAGATTGTAATTCTTTCAAACCAATGGTTTAAAAAACGGATCGGTGATCCGAATCGGGCTCCCAAGAAACCGATCCGGATCGGAGAATCGGCAATCTGGATCGGAAATCGGATGAATCGGTCAGAATAAAACTTAAAAAAAATCCGAAAAAAATGTTAAAATTCATTATAAATATTGTTTTTAAGGAATTCAATAAGAAATGAGGGTACTCCATTAGGAATTTTCATGTTTTTGAATGAATATGCGAATATTGATATGTTCTTTCCTTGCATGAACTGCCATTCAGCATTTAATTTACATCACACAAAAGGATAAACATAGAATTATCATGGAATAAGTATATCAACATACATGGACTACAATAAAGTATAAAATTAGTAACATATGATCTAAAAATAAAATGATAGACGACGTTATTGCTCTTCTTGGTCACTCTAG